AACGCTGCCCGCTCCAGACAGGCCAAATGTCTGCGCAACCGCCTGCAAGGGAAGATTTGTGCGTGCAAACATCTCGCTTCGCTGGGGGGGAAGAGCATCGCATCCTCCAAGATATCCTTGGAGGAGTCACAGCTTTGTAAGACAGGCAAGTGAAACGGCAGCTTAGACTCTACCTGGGGTTCAGACGAGATCAGCTCTCACCGCAGCACCTGGACACCTTCCACGCAAACAAAAGTCCCCAATTCCTGACCTGCATCGGTGATGCCAGGACATATGATAACAGATACCCAGAGTCTAGAGATGCTCTTTTGCCCCGTACTGTCTGTGTGAAGACCATGGAGCATTTCGGATGGCTTCAGCTAGACACATGTCTGACTGGGGGCACTCATGACTGAGGTGTTGTACAGAGGGACGTGGTGACTTCTCCACCGGCTGGAGGATCCAAGTCAAAATGGCAGATCTTTCTAAAAGACATCTTTTAATTTAACTGCAAATTTGGGGGCTCAGAACGGATTGCTTCCTGACCTGTTTTGTAGGTCAGACTAGCAAATACGAATGGTCCCTTCCGGCCTTACAAATCTACAGTTTTATTTCCTGGCTTGCACTAGCACGTCACAATGCTTTGGGAGCAAAGAGCAGTGTCAATGACCAAACAGCTACTGGGTTAGAACTGGCTGACACAACATGTCCAGCCTGGGGTTGTGCATTCATTTCGTTAGCTCAATTTACAGACCGATTTCAGTGAAAGCTTTTTGTGTGAACCCAGCCCTGCAGCTGTGGGGCTGGCCCGAGCCTGGACACAGCCCCCAAGCAGCAAACAGGGTCTAGATGGGCACAGCTGCCTGCCCGCAGGCACGACCTTGCAGGAACGTGGCCCGATTCTTTCATTACCAGAGCCAACAGAAAGTCCCCATGGATTAACCCAGGCTTCTGGTTCCAGTTTGCTACCGGCTTTCACCTTCTGGGTGCACTGAAGGTTTATTCTCTCAACAGGCATCTCGGACGTGGGCTTCAGCTCGTGCCTTTGATCTGGCAACGTAAGAAACAAAATACTAAAGTGTAACATCTGAGGCCTTCATCTCCAGTTTAATTTTCGGGACACCTTCTCCCTCCTGCACACACGCACACACACATTAGCATGCATCAAAAGTGCCGTGTCCCCTTTAATGTTTACTCATCCTGAGATTGCAAAAATTGTTGTGTGAATTCTCTCTTTAATTAGTTCTGGCACTCAAAAAAATATTGTTCGGTTGCCTGTACAGTTATGATCATTTCTCGCCTTTATACCTTTATTCCCTAGTGTGACTTGAAAAGAAAAAAAGCTTCCCCATTCTCCCTCGCAAAACCCCTGGCTTTAGAATTTTTTTAAAACAAAAACAACCACTATTTCTAAAGGAAGGTCCTTTGTGGATGAAGTGCCACTTCCATTCACCTTTCCAGCTTGTAAGGAAGAAAACAAAGATCAGAAGGAGGATTTACACAAAAAAAACCCAACTAAGTAAAGCTAATTTTTTATACAGAGAAGTCTTGCTAGGTATAGAGAGGGGCTTTGTTGAGCGGTACAGAAGAGACATCAGAGGAGAATCTACAGCAGGCTTTAAAATACTTCCAGCTATCCTCGCGCCGGAGAGGAATGTGCAGTCTGTGTTGCAAAGTAAATACAGAGCTAAAATTTCAGAGCAGTTTCCATACCCAGAGTTGGTTGCAGAAGCAAATCCGCCGCCTTGTTTGCAGCTGCACGCTGCGTGCACAGAACCACCCCAAACGCTGCAGTACACGCATTAGCATGTAGCCCCCTGCATGTGGGGCCTGACACACAGCGGAAAACCGTCCAGGAGCAAAATGGTGGGCACAAACGTACTCGTTGCGTGCAAAACCACAGCCTGTCCTCACTAGGCCTCTGGTGCTTCCCTTCCCCAGAGTCAAACCAGGCTCCAGTGTGCTGTGGGACATCGCTAGGACTGCAATGGATAGGGCAGCTGGATTGCAAGCTGGCAGACTTGGGCTTTATTACTGCCCCTGACCTGACCCAGGATGGCTCTTGGCTTCACCTTTTATAGTATAAGAATGATGTTAACCTCCCCGATAAAGAACTTCGACATCGAGGAAGGAAAAGGCCTTTGTAACGCTGTTGTTGCTGTAGGCATTTACTGCTAGAACCCAGGGCCAAATGCAGCGTTCACCTGTGCATTGAAGGGCAGTGCCCTCAGTCCTTTCCCTTCAAAGCCCGGCACTCGGTACATCGCCACGGCGGTGGGCGATATTACCACATCTCTCTGCTCTGGGTGAAAGACCAGCAGTTGGCCTCTAGCCCTGTTTGTCACAACGGCTATTTTGTGAATCTCATAGCATCGTGGGAAGTTACCCCGACCCTCGCAGCAGTGGACAGAGCAGGGGAAAGCTGGGAGAATTCGCCAGGCAGCAAATGGCCCCCAGGTCCTACTTGGAGCATAGAAATTTGCCTTCAGAGCTTAACACGTGTTCAAATGAATCCTGGGCAGACACCCACTGGCTTGTGTCCGAGCAGACTCCCCAGCCAGAGGAGCTCAGACAGCACCACCCTGCCGCTCGTCACAGCCAGGAAGGTAGCTCATGCTTTTGGTGTCTCTAAGGGTTTGAGGGAGCGAGGGTGTTCTCTTTTTCCTTGCTTTGTAAGGCTGGGCTGATCATGGCACGTTACAGGAGTGATGGCTTTTCTGGGACTCCAGCAGTGGGACAGGGTTGCACGCAGATGCCAAAGGACTGGAACGGGATTAAAGATATGCAATGCTGACGCCTCCATTTGGGTTCCTATCCCACCATCCCTACTGCTGTACCAAGTGCCTTTCATCCGTGCACAAACCCACAACTATCTCCATCACGCTCAGTTCTTCCTGACCCCAAGGGAGAACTGTGTAGAGGAAGTGTTGTGTGTTGGTTATGTACAACTGCACTGGAAGAAGCCAGACAGAGAAATGCACCTGGCATTGAGAGCAGAAGATATCGAGGTACAGGCTGGTTCTTAGTTCCTGCTAAAACTTCAGCCACCAGACTCAGGTTGGCCCCGAGAAAGCCATCTGCACAGATGCACCACCCCTGTGAGCTTGCAGGCAGGGCATGCTAAAGGTTCAGCACAACCAATTTAGCACATTAGAGCTATGGTACCTGCAGCACCTCCCACCAGTGGGCAAGGCTGCCTCGAACAAGCACAAAGCACTCCCCAATCAAGACCTACAAGTCAGCACCAGTCTCTCCCCTCCTAAGGACCAAGGGAGACTTTGCAGATCTCAGCACCCAAGCTCACCTGGGTCTAATTTATCTAACGCTGTTTGGGACATTTTGCACCGTGCCAGAATGCATGCATTCTCCGTCCCCAGGGTGTAGCACTCAGAGAGCATCCAGCAAACGGGCCCACAGTGCAACACTGCCACTTAGTGGATTATTCAGCTCAGAAACCCATAGCAATGTCAACTCGGGGAGGTGGGGAGGATGCTTTATTTGGGCTGTAACTGCTACGGCTTTGACTTGTTCAGCCAATGCTTCGCAGTATGGGAGCAATAACAGCAGCACCCGTTTAAGAGGCACAAGAGCAACATGGCAGAACACGGGGTGAGGAGGAGGGGAACAAAGAAACTCGCCCTCCTCCATCTGGGCTCGAGGAAAAGGGTACCACAGTGAGAGCCGAGAGCGAGAAGGGGAAAGGGCTTCGTACCATAGGAAAGGAGAAGTGAGAGGGCCAGGAAATTGCACTGGTGGAGACCAGGAGCCAGTGGGTGGGAGAGCGGTAGGCTTGACCCAAGTGTCCCCGAGAGAGAGACAGACCTTGGACTGGAGCTGGGCTTGGAGAGCACAGCTAGAGAATGAGGAGTGCAGTAACACCGTTGCAAGCAGTTGGTACCTCTGCACCTAGGTGGGGTGGACTGCTGGGGATGAGTGGCCATCAGGCAGCTCCCAGCACAACCCAGCATTCCCCGTCACTGCTACAAAGGAGGAACCTACCAAGAGGGAACGTTTCGCTTTATTGGTTGGAAGATGCAATGGAGGGAGAGGAAGAAAAACAGTCAGCGAAAAGAAAAACAAAGCAGATCAATACAGGCCTGGCTGCTGGTTAAAAATAAATCAACACACCGCAGGGCCAGGAAGAAAAGCCTGGCCCTGCGTCTCTAAAAGCACCATCAGACAGGAACGCAATGCACTTGAGTGCTGCTTTATTGACTTCTTGGCAAGCCGGGCAGACCGCCGGCCCCTCTCCCTGCACTCTCCTGCTGCCAATCCCCCTTGCGTCACGCATGCAAACAGACTGAAACCAGAAGCGAGCATTAGCGGCGAGTGCTGCGATCGGCAGCGCACACAATCGATGCCATTAACCCCAGCAGGAGCCCCAGTCGATTGGCCTCACAGTTCAGCGGCCAGTCGCTCGATGCAAACCCCACAAAGATCACAGGGGCCCTCATGTAAACGTTGCTAATCGGGCTTGGTCTTAAACAATGGCACTTGTTTCAAGCAGACTAGACAGCAGCACTGCACGACACGCTCGCTGTGTAGCATTACAGAGGGTCCCACCACCAACTCCCCCCTGGCTCCAAAGGTTGGTGGGTATCCTGTTGCTCAGGCCTCTAGATGACCATCAAGTCAGGATCAGAAGTGCTGAAGGGGCTGGAGGGAGTGGACTGGGGACACGGAAGAATATAGGCACCCCCAGTTGTTTTTGGAAGCGCTCTAGGAAGTTACACTCAAGGCGGGTTGTATGAAGGTACCAATGTGGAAGCAAACTCGCTTTCAGAGCCATTCAGACAACACCGACAGGAGTCTCCTGGCCCAACTCCTCTACCGCTGGGATCAGGACCGTAAAAAGCCACCCCCCTGCAAGGGCTACCCTGGCCTTATTCCAACTGCCCACCAGAAAGGCGTCTCCACCCGCCCCGGGAGCAGTTCTCGACACTGTGCTGATGCACGCTCTTCTTCTGGGAAGGCAGGAGGGCACGGGAGGCTGCAGGGAGGGAAGGAGCCTGACATCTGGGTTGTCAGCATTCTTCATTTATTTCTCCCACAAGATGCATTAACAATGATTTAAAGCAACCAAATGTCTGAGAGAGCAGGAATGGCAGAGGATAATCTTGGCCAGCTGGGAGCAAACCCAGGTTGAGAAACTGTCTCCGAAGAGGCAGAATGTAAAATGAGCTCCTATGATTAAAGGGGAGGGAAGAAGAGGGAATAGCTTCCACCGTGGAGCAGCAAAGGGTCAGAACCTTCTCTACCCGAAGCATGGTTAGATTAAAAGCGATGAAGAGGCTTTTCTCCTGGTCCCTTTGGCACCCCTAGAAACACCCCTGCGCAGAGGGCTTAAGCAGTATTCAGGTATTGGGTGCCCCTCTATACTGGGAAAGCACGAGGACTCTTCCTTAATTAATTCAGCCTACCACGCACCATTAAACTGGTCCCTTGCAGGTGGCATTCATTGTAGGTGCAAGCCCTCCACCCCAATTGCACATCCCAAACACAAGACACCCCACACTGCTGCCAGAACGGGCGCTTCTGTCTGGTATTGGAATCATTACAAATACATACTTTAAAAAAAAAAATAGGTCCCCTTTACTTCCACCAGAATCATTAAATCATCCACATGTTAAAATACACAATCATTATTTTCTTGGAATCATCCATTCCAACAAACCCAGGAAAATCAAAGCTTGCCGACTCCCTTGGTCCAACTAGGAACAAGAGCTTAAAGGATAAAAAAAAAAAAATGCCTCACTTGCAGCTAATGGAAGTCCAATGAGCATGACGGCAAAAATGCTGAGCCACACAGGTTGGCTAAGAGGATTGAAGTAAACTGTCTGACTTCAGGGCTCTGCAAATCAAGCTTTAGGGGAAATTAGGTTCGTGCTGGGGGCTGAAGAGTTAAGGGAAATGTCAGCTCCTGTTACAGAGCGCAGAGGTAATGCAGCTGATGAATCAAAATCAGCTAGCTGAGGGCATGACCTGCAGGGCAGGAGGGGCTTGGACCATGGCAGCTGACCGTAATGCAGCAAATCAGCAAGGAAAAAGTGCTTAAACTGAGCATTAAAGGATAAAAAGGAGCTGAGGTTGGGGCAGGCCGAGGCACTGGCATGTCTCCCTGGGAAGGCATTTCCACAAATACTTTTGCTGCTAAACCCAAAGGGTGTCTGTGCCTCCCCAAGGCGTGCAGGGAGGGATGGAGAGGGGTGCCTTGCCTACAGTGGCGAGGTACTAGGCCTTGTGTAGATGAACCCCAAGAGCATGGTGCTCCCAGGGCAACAGCTCTCCACTGCCGTGTGGCTGGTACAAAGCCACGCAGCGCTGCTGAAGGAGGAAGAGCTCCTTTCCTAATTGCCAGTTTCTCTCTCTTCAACAAGGAGAAATCGTTGCCAGCTAGAAGCTAACATCCTGTTTCCAGGGCTTCCCTTCCCACAGATGCTTAATGGACACACCTAACACCGCAGTCTGGCCTCACAGCTGCGCCTCCCCAGCCAGGGAACTCCTGCCAGCAGGATGACTCCTCTTGGCTTCCTATAACAAAGGCACTCCTCCTTCACAAGTGAGGGAGCATGTTAAGGCTTGCAAGACCGTCCTGCCCTCCATTGCCCAAGACCAGTGTCACCCCACTGGCTGCCCACGCAGGGGCGGAAGCCATGTGCTAAGAAAGCGTGCTGTAAGCAGGATCATTCCAGCCTAGTTCCCACCGTGCTGCCAGAGAGGTGGGCTGCACGTTTGTAATACATTCAAATACTCCCCACCCACCATCACCACAGGACCCACAACCACCCTCAGTGGTACAAATGATTCCCCTGCAGTCCGCTGGGCAGATGACCTGGCGCAGTCCAGAGTCCTAACACCACCAGCGCTACGGCCCTCCCTCAAGGAGGGGTTCCTGTTGAAGCAGAGCTGCCTCAGGTTAAGATCGATAGTGCACAGGGATCCGGCATCAGCTCCTCCTCAGGGTTATTCCTCCTCTTTGAACACGTCACAATCGCACAGGGAGCAAGACCCTCTGGCTTGGAGCACGGTCCTCAGCTAATCCTTCCACGTGTGATCACAGCCCTCCAAGTCCAGCAGCTGGGCAACTATCGAACATTTCTGCGGTGCAGGTGACGCTTGCAGGTCCTTTGGTTTGCTGCTGTTCCCTGACGCTTCGCTGATCTCGCAGCAAGCACGCACTAGTCACTGCTGGTGCTTCAGAGAAATGCTCTCCTAGTCAAGTGCCATCTTTCCTTTTCCAAAAGGGGTAACAACCTGTATTGCCATGGCACGATTTCCACCTCCGAGCTGCTGGGTGAGCACTAATAGCAACAGCCAGAACACCGCTGCCCCAGACGCACTGGTCCCTGAGCTATCCTCCCAGCTGCCCACGCTAACTGAACATAGCACCCACCCCTCAGCAAGCAAGAGGATCCCTCCTGACTGATCGCACTGGACACAGCCAGGTACAGAGTCTATTAATAAAGAAGTGACCATATACTGACATGGCAAGTGAAAGAACCCAACTCCCCAACAGCACTTCAGCTCAACTGCCCTACTTAGTAGAGGGTGGGGAATGAATGGAGGTGGGATATTCATTAGAATCCCCAAGCCAGAAGACAAGGCTCAAACACTCAGGTCCCATATGTTCAATCCACCTGAGAGAGTCACACGTTTGTTATGAAGAGTTTTAAAGTTTTCCCATGATTGGTCCCCATGCTGCAGGGCTCCTGTCACTCCACCTTCCCCTACACAAGGCGCACGGGAGAGGGGGAGACAGGGTTACACTGCCCTGCCCCCAGCAAGAACATTTCGTGCTGTTAATTAGCAGTCATTTTAAGCAGTTAGGACAAAATAACCCCCGAAAATTGGCGAGGCGATCCTGCAGCTGGGCATGCACCTTCTGGATCTGTCTGTGCAGATCGAGCCCCGGGTCCCACATCATCTGGAAAACAAAAAACACCCACACACCAGAATGAGCATTTATGGTTAGACAGAACAGTAGCGTCCTGGGAGAGGGCTGGGAACCGACAGAGCTGCGTGCCTATACACGCAGCTCTCCTCGCCTTTGGAAACACCCTGAAGAAATCAAAAGAACTTATTCTGGGGAGTCAAAGACTACATAATGTTAGTGTCTGTCCTGAGGGGAGAGAGGGAGCTAAGTGCAACCTGGCCTGGTTGGGATACAGCTGACTCTTTGCTTCAGGCAGATTTTTTGGGGATCTCTGAAGGAAAGGAACACATTGGGTGTGTTGCTGTAGTCCCAAAGTAAGGGCACACCTGGGCTACCACATTATCAACTGCTTTCTGTTCAAAGGAGACTACATATCCCTGTGGAAAAGCATTAGATTCCATCTCAAGAAACTTCAGCTCTATTCCCATTCCTGCCACTGTCCTGCTGGCCAAGTGCTATACCTCAGTTTTTCCGTCTGCAGAGGCGGGGCTGCCCCTTTTGCAAAGTGCTTTGATCCATCCTGATGAACAGCTTCCCGCACAGTGCCGCACAGAATACAGAGAAAGCGATATGAGAAAGCGGCACGTTCTCCAGAGGCGCAACAGCAGAGCTAGCTTGCAGTGTTAAAAGCCAAGCTTGCAAGTGTTCAGTCAGCAACGCTCCAGCCAGCAGAACTCCAGATAAGAAAACGATCCTTACTGTCAGCATATGCTTTATATGCATTAGCTGATCCAACGCAAAGGAGTCCAAGATGTTTGAGATGAGGCAGAGAGATTCCTTGGTTCTTAGAACAGCAGAGGGAGGGGACAAAAGGAGTGAACTGCTTGGCACAAAAAGAGATAGGAAGATAATGCAGGGACTTGAGGAGCGTAGGGAAGAGGATTTTAGGTCATGCATTGCCAGAGAAAAGCACACATGCAGTCTGCCCACAACACACATGCCACTTGCCATTATTCTCAACCTCCCCCTTCATACTGTGGAACCAGGGACAGGGAGAAACCCTACAGCGCTGCCTGCCCCTTACATTCACTTACACAGGAAACCGATCATGCAGCTCCTCAGACTCCCCCTAAACACTGCCCACACTTCTCTCCTTTACCTTCCCTGCCCGTCCCTGCACACTCCATATGCCTGGATCTAAAACTAAGGCATGTAGGCACCCCATTCCCACACAATTCTTTGCGGAGGACTACCTGAAAACACATCCTAGTGTCTGTGTGCCTCTGTGTTAGTTCTGAGATGTAGTCACTTGGCCCTTTATGCTACCACCCCCACTGGACTGGGTTTATGTGACATAGATCACCATTGTACTGTACCCTACGCACGCTGCAAGCAGTCACATAATAATACTATTATAGCACTGAGTCGGGACTTGAGGCACAATCAGAATAACGATCAGACAAGGCCATAGCAATTATGAGGTTAGAAATAAATTTAAGATGGAGACTGTTACCTCTTACAGGAAATCCTAACGGGTTTCATAGAGGATTTAAAATGTCTTCAGTGTTTGTGTAGCATTCAGTCTCCTAATGAAGGCAGCCTAACCTACTGCATTTAGGGAAGGCCTGGTCACCTGGCTTTCACCCCAGCACCAGGCTGCCAAGCTGATGCTAACACAGCAGGAGAAACCCTCTCTTTAACAAAATAAACAAGCACTAAACTTTTCTCCACGACTAAGTATTGTAAATGCAGTTAAATATTTATAGCTCTGACTGGGTAATGTTTATAAATAGGTCAATGTTGCATATAGGAATGTAAGCATAAATATGTATTTGTAAATAGCGTGCATATAAATATGGAAGAATCAAAACAAACAGACAAAACGTTCCCATGTAGACACCCAGCCCAGAATCCCAAGCAAGACAAACGACAAAGCAGTTTGCCCCAGACTATCAAAATTAATGGATCCTCAAAGCCTAACCCACCAGTGAGACCCACAGAGCTGGACACTGCACAAGTGGAGGCAAAGTTTCACCTAACTGGATCCAGTTGCAAGGTCTGCGCCAAAGCTTCTTGCATCTTTAAAACGGGATATTTATAGCAACTCGCAAGGAAACGGAGGAGGATTAAAAAAAAAAAAAAAAAGTCTACCTACCGCCTCAGATTTCTTGTTTCAAACACTGTGTCTTCATCGCTGTCAAGCGAAGTCATCTCCACATGTTCATCGTAGTTTGAAAGGAGACCATATTTCTTCCTCTGAGGTTTCTTCAATCTGAAATAAGTTTTGAATTCATTTACATCCACCTCTGGGCTAGAACTGAGGCAAATGGACCCAATTTAAGGGTCTTTTCCATAAGTCGCCACCGGCTTGTAAGGAGAAAGGGGGCCCTTGCGAGCAAAATGAAGCAAATGGGAAGTCTGGGGTGGTTTTACTAGTTCTCAGGTCTGATATCATGCCATTCAACGGGCGACCCCCGAAGCATCTCTGAAAAGCAACTTCCCAAAGCTGCTCCCCGCCGCTTCTCACATATGCGCCACCACCAAGTCCCCAAGACACTTCTACAGGTTGGTGAATTTAGAACAGAACCGTTATGCGGGGAGGATTTCCCATGCGGATACACTGGGTTCAGCTCACGCGGCTTCGGTCTTTGCCATCACAGCCAAAATGTGGGAAGGACGGAGTGAGAGCGTAATTTTTTAATGATGTTTCTAGATCAGCAAAAGCAGACGCAGCTCCTGTCTACCAGCAAGCAGAGAAAAAATAAGTCCTATTGGCAAAAGTCCTTTTTTTTTATTTAAGGGGAGCCTCCCAGGAGGGGAAGGGTCCCTTGGGTGCCCCGGGAGAGTGGATCCATAATCCCCCCCCCCCCC